TGATCACAACTCCTATGCTTAGGGAGTTGGAGGTTTTCCAGGGAGTTGTGGAAATCTAGAAAATGACTACTTGTATAACTACCTTTTGCCAGCGCCCCAGCTTCCAACTCCCAACATTTTTGCTGGGCAGATGCAATATTGCGTCATGCCTTTTGGATTGAAAAATGGCCCCGCGGCGTTTCAGCAAGCCGTCAACCATATTTTATGCAAACATTTGTTTGTATGCTGCCTGGCTTACATGGACAATATCATTGTTTTTGGTGAAAAGTTTGCGCAGATACTTGATAATCTTGAACTTGTTTTGTCCGCACTAGAACAGGCAGGGGCCGCAGTCGACCTTTTGAAATCCACCTTTCTAGCGCAGAAAATGGTCTTCCTTGGCCAGGAGATTGACCAGACGGGCACCAGACCCCTGGAAAAGGACCTGGATGCCGTGCGGCGGTTCCCAAAGCCCCAGACCACCCGTTAACTTCAAAGGTTTCTGGGCATGGCGACATATCTTTGGGCACATCTGCCCACAAACTTTGCCACAGCTGAAAAAATGCTCCAAGAAATCATCCCCGCCAAACCACTGACCAAGCTGGTCTGGACGGACGACGCGGCAGCAGCTTTTGACCACCTGAAGAACATCTTGGCCAAGTTGGCGCGGTTGGAGTGCATGGATCCATCCAGAGCAACAGAGGTACATTGTGATGCGTCTCAGACATCTCTGGGAGCAATCCTTGTACAGATCGGCGAGGACGGGAAGCCTTGAGTTGTTGAATATGCGAGCCGTACTCTCAACAATACGGAGTCTTGCTACTCCAATTTGGAGCAAGAGTTACTGGCCATCGTATGGGCCGTGACCAAAAAATTTAGACATTACCTAGAAATGGGTGATTTTTTAGTTTTCACAGATCATAAGGCGTTGCTTGGTGAGTTGAAAACCACCCGCCTCATTTATCTGCAAATGAAACTTGTGCCCTTCCGGGCCAAACTCATGTACAAACCTGGTAGCTTCCTCAAAGGCCCTGATGCACTAAGCCGCGTAACAATCAATGCAGCCCAGGGCAAATATGTGCCAGATGAAGCAGAGCAGACCCAGATCATCGACAGTTATCATGCAAAGCTTGGGCATCCGGGCTGGAAGAAGATCTACCAGACCCTGAAGACATGCTACCACTGGCCCTCCCTCTGGCAAGATACATGGAAACGGATCCAATGCTGTCCTCTCTGCTTTCACTACAATGCATGCACCTCAAAGGTGGGTACAACTCTGGAGCCCATTGCCTCCTCACATGCTCAAGAACGGCTGACTCTGGATTTTTACTGTCCCCAACCCACCTCCACCCAGGGACACCGCTACACAATCATTGCAATCAACCACTACAGTAAGTACATGATCGCAAAAGCGATTCAGAGCGCCGACGCCATGACAGTCATACCTTTTCTGGCGGAAGTTTTCCAGCAGTTTGGTCTGTTTGAATATATTCTTACATATGCCAACTCCATGTTTTGCTCTTGCACTTTTAAGTGGTTCTTGCGCAACGCTGGTGTCAAATAGCATGTTCCCCAGGCCACGCACCCTGGGGGAAATGGCTGCTGCAAGCGGGCCATCAAGACGTTGGGCCAGATACAGGTGAAGCATGTCCAGGGAGCAAGTGCCACCTGGGATCAACACCTGACCAAATCAGTGTTTGGATATAACAATACCATTCATTCCTCCACAGGTCTTACTCCGACTGAGGCATTTCTTAATCAGCCCTCAATCTTGGAATCGGACAGACAATTTGGAGTCTACCCCCAGCCGATTGACAAACAACTTGAGTGCGTGGGGGAGACCAATGAGAAAGCCCGTCAAGCATTCTGCCAAACCTCCAACCAGAAAAAGTGGCCAAGATTCAAACCCGGCAACCTTGTTGCAATTTGCCCGAGATTACCTACCGTCCAGACTCACGCCGCACACCATCAATTTTGAGTGCAACAGTATGTTGGGCCCATTCATCGTGGTTTGCAATTTGGGTCGGGGCGAATATCACGTTGGTGCAGAAGGGGCCATATATGCCAAGCAAACGCGTGGGAATTGGTCCCAGTTTGGGGATTACCCAGGCCTCCAGACCCCATTTGAGTGGAGCACTTGGCACTGGTCTTCCAGCCCACCAATCTTGATCCATATAGCAAGTCCAATGCCCTCTTTGCAGATCCCTCCATGGGATTTTCCCCGCAGCGCAACGTTTTTTGCAATCATGATTATTTTATTTCTCCTCCTCAGCCCGCTCAGGTAGCGCGGCCCAACCATTCCTACTCTTCACAAAAAATGTAACTGCCCCCTTCTTTTACTCTTCCGACCCCGACCCCATTTTGGGGGGGGGGGGGGGGGAGAGTAAGGGCCTCCTAAGAGTCCCTTAATAACAACATCTACCCACACAGATTGAACAAACTTTACCCAAACCATGCACCCACCCAAGTACCCTCAAGACAGAAGATGGCTACCCCAATCAGAGGAGAGGTGTGCAAGGCTGGGACCAGAGATCATCACTTTGCTTCTAACTCTGACTTTGACAACAGTGTTTAAATCTGGACTTATTTTATTGTGATTGTGTTGCTGATTGTGTTGTGGTTATCCAAGAGTTTGAGGACAATTAAAAGGACTCTGTAAATTGTAACAGTGGACAAGGACTCTTTCATAAATCCTTACTCTTCCTAGAGGGATGTTTGCTTCCACTTCATCCCTCAACACCATGAATGAGTGACTTTTTGAATTGCGCATGCTTGCAGTTAGGAACTACATGTTGAGGAATGGTGTAGCAAGATAGCATGCTATTCAATACATGAACTTGCAGCATTTGTATTGTTTTATTCTTGTATTTTATGAGTAGAATTTAGTTGAGGCAAAAAATGGTTAACACATTCAAAGGTATTCCATCACTACCACTGATTTGTGCAAATAACTTCCCAAACATGGCCAGAAAAGAATTATTTTTTTCCAAGAATTAATTCTGGCTGAAACTGATTTTGGGAGGCAGTTAGGTAAAGTTAGGTTAGGTCAGGTTATGTTAACCTAACCACCTCCCAAATATCTTTTAATTAACATAACCAGATCTAACCTAAAGTTACCTAACCACCTCCCAAATATCAAATATCTTTTAATTAATATAACCTGACCTAACCTAACTTTACCTAACTGCCTCCCAAAATCAGTTTCAGCCAAATGTGGAAAAATAAAATTCACAGTTTATTGTACATTGTTGTGATTATGAATTTGTCCTAAAGATTTGTCTTTATATAAAAAGGTGTTTTATATGTGCACTATGTCATTGTCCCTTGGAGTCTCCGTTTACATTTTACACTGCTAAAGCATTACAGTTGAAGTCACTCAATGAGAGGCTGGTGCTCCTATAGGGGGGTGTGAGAGAGGTACTGTTGAATGGAGCTGTGTCCAGTGGAAGTTGTACCATAACGTGGTGTCACGGTTCTTAAGCCTGATTGTGAAGTGTAGAGGCTAGAAAGTCTTACTATTTCAGTGTTTTCACATCACCCAAAACAATTGATGAAAGAACAAAGTCCCTTCTGTGTACTCAAGTGACCAGCGAGAGTGTTGGACAATTATTGTGTAGCGGACTGCTGAGCGCCAAGGACGACTTTTCCACGTGGTGTGCTGCTGTGGCACCGTCTCACACTTCGCTAAATGGTCCGCAGCAGAGGGAGAACCTCTTCAAAGTTCACCGAGCCATTTCTCGCGTCGGAAATCAGGTGCTTTTGCTTCAACTATCGTTTAGTAACGGCCAGCGGCCATTAGTCCCGCGCGACAGGAATATCGCGTATTCGATACAAGCTTTGTTCTGACCTCATACCCAATCAGGGTACGCCGGCGCAACGGCCCACGCGCCAGCAACCGGCCATCTTGTATAGTGAGAGGCACGCCAGGCCTCATTCTACCGTGAACCTCTGACGAGTGCGGATCTCTGATTTATGTGTGCGAAAGTGTACTCTTGTGAATAGACTATCAGTATTCCATCATTGGTGTCTACTCATTCCTAGTCTAGCTTCATCTAGTGTGACTAAGGACAAATCTTACTGGGGGCTCAGCCGATCAACGACGACCCGCAATGAACAGTGACCGCACAGAAAGTGAACCCCAACCAGGGCCATCCAATGCAAACGCATCACCGCAACCGGTAGCGTCATCGCAACCAAGGGCAACAGCCAATCCATGGAATTTCTTGATGCTGAATGCCATACGTACGTACGCGATAGCAAACGGCATACCGAACGCCAACGAAGTACCACGGGACGAACTCATCATCGCACTTCAGGCTAGAGGCGCAACACCCCTCAACATCATTCTCAGCTCACCACCAGACTATCAGACGGGACCGGGGTCCACGGAGCTGTTAGCGCGATCGCTCCTGCGCAGACGAGTCGACTACACGCACCAATCACCGAACGAAAGTATCGAAATGTACCTGAGACGTCTGGAGACCGCCTTCAAACATGATGGCACGCCGAACTTTACCAAAGTCAACTGCCTCATTGGGCACTCCCAACCAAAGGTAGCAGAAGCAACACAACTGCTCTACGACCAAGGATTCGAGGACTACGACGTGATCGCGGAAAAGCTAAAAGCCAGGTTTCGTTTATCACCATTCGAACATTTTACCAGGTTTCAGCAGTTCCACCCAGCGCCTGACGAACTCTTCTCGCAGTTCGGTCCACGCCTACGCAACGAATACCTCAGATACCTTGCCCTACCAGCCAACGAGGTCGGGCAACATGAAACCGCGATCACACGGGCCCTCATCGGACAACTCTTGTCCATCACCACTGGCGGGCTCCATGCCCAACTACACGCACGGGCGACAGCCGATCGTTCCCTCACATGGGATAAGTGCCTGATAATCGCCGACAAATACAGATGAACACACCCGGCAACACCAAAGCCGGCCGCAACACCGGCGCCGCAGTCACCCGCCAGCCGCCCGCCCAAAACAACGGCATCCGGCGTCACCAAATACTACTGCGAAAATCATCAGCGGTACGTTTTTCATAGCACGGCCGAGTGCACAATGTCGCAAGCAAGCTCACGAGCATCCACGCCGTCCACAACGGCTAACGGGTGCCCGCTACAAAGCTGCTCCTATCACCCAGGGCGCATGGTCGCACATTCAACTGAGGAATGCCGGAACAACCCGGCCAACCAGGTGAATACACCATCCCCCGCACAATCGATTCAACCTACTAAATGCGTCCAATGCAGAAATACAGGACATACCACAGCAACATGTCCTGGAAACGGGAAGATCGGGCAGTGACGGCTGTCCTCTGCTCTATCCCCACGCCTACCGACGACAGCCTGACCATCATCATCACCATCAAAAACAAACGGGTGACCGCCCTGATCAACACCGGAGCGACAAAATCGTTCATGGCGACGGACGTCGCCGAGGAAGTCGGCCTGTCTCCACACCCGACCAAAGCGAGGATATCCGCTGCAGTACTTCACGTCTCCACGACCGTCAGTCACGCAGTGAGTACTGTTTTTACTCTTGGATTGGCCGCGTACGAAGCCACCTTCTTGCTACTCTCCAACGCGCACTATCCCGTTATTCTTGGACTCAACACGCTTAAGAATCTCCCTTTCTGCTTCACCCTCGACGGCCAGCAAGTCTTTTCCGGTTTTCAGCAAATCAAACCAATTAACAAAGCCCCAAAAGCGCCGATAGGCAAGGGCATCACGTTCGTCCACGGCACGCCCACAGAGCAGCAACAGATCACGGCTCTCCTACGGCGCTACGCCCCTCACATCTTCCAGTGGAGAGGCAAACACGGGCTCTTCCCGCAGCACATCGCCTTGCTACCCACCAATGGAGAGGATCCCGAACCCAGTTGCCGCATACGGCTCTCGCCCGACAAGCGGCCGGCGTTCCAACACATCATCGACAATTACACCCGTGCGGGTATCATAGAACCAGCCCAGTCCACCGTCAACTCCCCGGCCTTCCTGACGCCAAAAGATGATGATCCTAATGCCCCCGCAATCAAGCGATGGCGCCTTGTGGAGGACTATCGGGAAATCAACATAGTCTTGCTGGCGGACAACTGTCCAATGCCAGTTATTCAAGACATCCTAGACGCACTCGGGCGCCAAAACGCCTATTTCTGCTGCCTCGACCTGCACTCGGGATACCATCACATCCCCATCGCGCATGGCGACTGCCACAAGACCGCATTCTCAACCTATACGGGGCAAATGCAGTATACGGTCCTACCGTATGGCCTCGAAACGGGGCCCGCCATTTTTCAAAGGACCATGGAAACCATCCTGCGTCCTCATCTATACACAAAGTGTCTCGTCTATATCGACGACATCATCGTCTTCGGCAATACCTTCGAAACCGTACTCAAAAACCTCCAACAGGTCCTCGATACACTTGCGGCCGCAGGAGCGTCAATAGACATCCTTAAATCAAAATTCTTGGCGGAATCCATCACCTTTCTTGGCCATATTGTCGACAAAACGGGCACACGCCCCGCGGAAGAGCACCTCAAAGCCGTCCAAGCCTTCCCGCAACCGGCAACAACATGCCAGATGCAGCGATTCCTTGGCCTCGCCACCTACCTACGAGCGCATGTGCCCACTAATTTTGCACAGCTCGAAAAAGTCCTACAAATAACCATTCCAGTGAAACCAGCTACCGCCATCGTATGGTCACCAGAAGCAATAGACGCGTTCGAAGCGCTGAAGAATGCGATAGCTAACGCCGCTCGGCTTGAACGTTTTGACCTGGCATGGGACACCGAGATCCACTGCGATGCATCCGCATCAGCAATTGGGGCCATCCTTGTCCAAATCGATCCAGAAGGACAACCCCACATCATGGAGTATGCGAGCCGGGTCCTCACCCCCGCAGAAACACGCTACTCCAACACGCAGCGAGAGCTGCTTGCAGCGGTCTGGGCGACGACCAAAAAATTCCTCCACTACGTCGAACATTGGCAATTCAAAATCATCACGGACCACAAAGCCCTACTAGGCGAACTGTCCAACACACGTCTCATCAGCCTCAAGCTAAAGCTGGAATCATTCGACTACACCCTGGTACATCGACCGGGGAAAACTCTCACAGGGCCAGACGCTCTCAGCCGCATTCGACTAAATACCATCCAGTTGAAAGAGATACCCAACGAATCAGAACGCCAGAAAATAATCGACAAATATCATATTGAAATGGGACACCCCAGCTGGAAGCGCACGTTCCACCAATTACGCCAGCGCTACACCTGGCCCGAAATGCGAACGCAGATCTTCAAAAGGGTTGCCGAATGCAAAAAATGCTTCACCTTCGACCCGGCGACAGCCACAGTTGGAACACACCTGGAAGCCGTCCGGACAACCGACAAACACGATCGCCTGGGAATAGACTTCTGGGGTCCATTTCCACCATCACAAACGGGCAACTGATATGCCCTGGTGGCAGTCGACTATTACACCAAACGCGCCATCGCGCAACCGGTAAAACGGGCAACAGCCAACGCACTCTGCAGCTTTATAGCAGATGTTTTTGCGCAGCTCGGGTCCTTTGAAATTATTCATTCCGACGGAGCAGCGGTCTTCTCATCCGCGGCATTTAAATGCTTCACCAAGGTAAACCAAATGGAAGTGCACATCGCACAACCATACCACCCAGAGGGCAACGGCGCTTGTGAGCGGACAATCAAGTCACTAACAGCCATCCTCGCCAAAACGGCGCCCAGCGCCACCACATGGGACCAAGTCCTGTACAAAGCCACCATGGCATACAACCGTACGCCTCACTCCACCACGGGTTTGTCTCCACTCGAGCTATGGCACAAAAAACCAATGCCAACGCCGGCCAACATCAAATTCAAAGCCCCGCCCAGGGATATTTCGGATCATCTGGAGGCGGTACAACAAACCTCCCAACGCCGCCGCGATCAATATACGCAACAGGCCAACAAACGAAAACTGCCGCAGTTTCACTCAGGGCAAATGGTGATGCTGCGCCCGTGGCTCAAAACCACCGAGAAGCATGCAGCACACCGCCGTTTCCTGCCCAAATGCTACGGGCCCTTTAGGATTATACGCTATCAAGGAAAGGGCGCTTACGTCATCTCAACAAAAAACGGGCCACAACTCGCGAACGCCTGGGAGCTACAGAAATACTCTTTCCCAACTGCCCCCCCCCCCCGAGACATGCCCAGATAAGTTAAGACCGGCACCTAACCTCGACCTCTCTTCTCCACAGAACGACGAAGATCGCCCTCGCTTCCGCCTCGCGAACAAGACCGACGACAAACCTGATCACCAGTACAACCGGCACGGGACACCCGACCACGCCGATCACCCGAGCAACGACGAGAACGCGACCGACCAGAGCGACAGCCACAACCGCGACACCCAAGGCGCGCCAGCTCCCCGCGGGAGCTCTTCATCACACAAACGTGGGAGCAACCACGGCGCCCGCTGCCAGCCAGACCATCTTCCACGCAGCCCCACCGGGATGCTGCCGTCCCCCGTATCCAGCGAGGAACTTCTGCTACCCGAGAGCGTCGCCAAACCCCCGTCGCCACAACCTCAACCCGACGTCATGGCAGCAAGAAGCGCCGTTGGTTCCAGCTCTCCCCATCTCCATCCCGGACATCATCATCAACCGCAGAAGAGGAAATGGACGTCAAGCCGCCAAGCGCCACGCTTGCGCAACCACTCCCCAGGAAAACCGAGTGCAGCACAGTTCATCACGTCAAAAAAAGTCACTGAGTTGACATGTCGTTTATAACATCAGAATGCAGTCATTTTGAGACATGGTAAAAAGTGACATGATGAAGACACAAGGGGAGTGCGTCTCATTTGGACATGTCTGAAAAAG